CCAGTGCGGCGACAGAGGGTACTGCTTCAGCACTGTGATCGCCTGCGCTGAGCTTTTGAGACACGAGCTCATCATCAAATCGTCAATGTTGCTGCGGACCTTACTGGTGAAGAGCGTCTATCCTGCTGGGTATATAGTCTCCAGTCCTGCTCGTGTCAGCACTCCTGGTGATGCAATCATCGAAGGGCCACATTAAAATCGGCTCCGACAAGAACTGGCATTAGAAACTCCTGCTGGCACCATCCTGCTGTGGCCAGCAGATGCAACTTTGTTTTCGGATCTTCGACATACATGGGCACAACAGCTATTGGCTTATGACCTGGTAGCTCTAAGATGGCTGCAGCGGCTCTGCTTGATAGAAGGTAGCAGGAGGAGGAGGAGGAGGAGGAGCAAGGAAGGAGGATGGAGAGGAGCACGGGAAAGAATGAAGAGTGGGGTGGGGGACGCGTGGGGGACGGTGAAGGAGTAGGGGGCGGAGGGGGTGGAGTAATGAACCGACGCCCGCGAAGCATTTGCCACTATAGCTTGGACAAGGCAGCACCTCCCCTGGGCTGTAGGGCTATAGGGCTATTGGGCTATTGGGCTATGGGGTGAGAGGGCTGTACGGCTATAGGGCTATAGGGTTATAAAGCACCAAGGCACCCGGGCGGGCCGCGGAAATCGGTGACACACCTCACCTAACCATATGATACCAGAGAAAAAACCCAATCAGGGCTAATGGGCTAGGGGGCTATAGGGCTATTGAGCTATAGGGCAATAGAGCTATGGGCTATAGAGTTGCAGGGCTATAGGGCTATTGGGCTATAGGGCTATAGGGCTTAGGGCTATAGGGCACCCCCGGGCACCCCCGGGCTCGCCCGGGCACCCGGGCACCCCCTGGGCACCCTGGCACCCCCGGGCACCCAGGCACCCGGGCGTGCAGCGAAAATCGGCGACAAACCTAAACTAACCATATGAATCCGCTAGGACCCCTACAGAGGCAAGCTCTGATTGGGGAATGAATCCGCTATAGGACCCCTACAGCGGCAAGCGATAATTGGGGAATATCCTTCGCCTCCAATATTCCATCAGCCTCAGATTCATCATCGTTATCCTGCTCCTCCGTCCTACCGCATCCTCGATAAACTTACCATCGGACTCCTCTTTCCTAATTTGTATCATAATCATCGTCCATCCTCAGCATGACATGCTCATCCCTTTTCTCCCGCCTCCTCATCTTCAGCATAGTCATCACCCGCCATCCCTTCTCCACGTCCTCTTCCTCCTCCTCCTCTACCTCCCGCCTCTCTCCTGCTCCATGTCATCACCTTCCTCCTGTCCTCCCTGCCCCCTGCTCCTCATCCTTATCTTGCTCACTCCTCCTCCTCATCCTCCTTTTCCTCCTTCTCTTCCTTCCCCTCTACTTCCTCCCAGTCCCACCCTCGTATTACTCCTCCTCCTCCTCTTCCCCCTCCTCTCCTCCTCCTCCTCCTCCTCTCCTCCTCTCTCCTCCTCCTCCTCCTCCTCCTCCTTCTCCTCCTCCTCCTCCTCCTCCTCCTCCTCCTCCTCCTCCTCCTCCTCCTCCTCCTCCATTCCTTTCGTTATAGATAACTTCTCCCTGTCGCACCCCGAGGCCAGTTTTTAGGGCGGGCCAGGCGTTTCGCCTGAGACTTCCTCACCGTGTATGACCCTGAGGCTTGAACTTGGTAGCAGTTTCACATATGGAGGGCGGGTCGCTTTCAACATGTGTTCTCGCCTTAGCTCCACGCACACTCGTTTTAAACATTTAAAAGGAGTTTCACGGGTTGAGGGCGACTGGTTTTCAAGACGTGGCTCTCGCACTAGCGCCGCGCACATTCGTTTTGTTTTTCCGCAACAAATTGCAGGAGCTTCACGGATTGAAAGCGGTTCCTTTTCAAAATGTTACTCCCCCGCTATCGCCGCGCACAATCGTTTTTCAGATTTGCCAGCGTTTCACGGACTCCCGTGGTCAGCGTACCAGAGAGGGCGTGTTGGAAGGATTCTGGATTATGAGTGTGCAACAGTTAAGTTGAGTCGCAGTATTGAAGTCACAAGAATGGCGCTCTGGCACGGTTCAAGATCGTCAAGACGCAACAGTCAGGTTGATTCGTGGCGTTAAAAATCCCCAGGGCAAATGTTTGGCATGCTTCAGGGTCTTCAAGCGGTTCTCTTCCAAGGAGGCAGCTCCATCAGTGGAAATCAACTCTTGTAGGGGCCTATGAAGAGAGACTCGGATGGAGGGTTTATTTCAACATCGTTGATGACCCGTCTCTGGGTTTCTTAAGAAGCGTGGGGGGGACCCCCGCCGACGGGGGTCAACCTCGCCTCGTTGTCGCGCCGCGACGGGGGTCAGAGCGCCTCCAGCGCGCAGTGACTGCTCGCGACGGGGGTCGATGCGGGGCTGTCGGCGGGGGTGGCGCCCCCCCGACGCTTATTAAGAAACTCGAGGTTTGGTTTACGCTGGTCCTCCTCCTCCTCCTTATCCTCCTCCTCCACCCCC